CATTTTGTTTTAAAGAACTTACTGAAAACGAAGTCTCATCATATAATTTAAACCATGTGTTGTCTTCATATACCTCTGAATCTCTATTTCAGAAGAGAACTTTTCATCCATAAAACACTTGTTTAATGTAAGAGGCTGATTCTTACTTTTACAGGCTTTTAACATCACATGCCTAGAGTTGTAGACTGCTCCCTTGATCTGATGTAGATTTCATGTGGGATAGTAACCTGGTGAACCTTTCAACCAATTTAACAGAGCTAATAAAGAATAACACAATCTATTGCTTGATGCTCATTAAAATTAGAATCCTCAGATCTTTGCACATTGTTTGATAGTATCTTCAGGGGCAGCAGTTTCAAAGTTGGCAGTTCAGTCTGCTAGATTCCCCCCCTAGCAATCAGACAACATTATTATTTTTCTTGAATTTTGCAACATGTCCAAACCATCTGATGCCATCATTCACAGACCACAAACTAATTGACTATTGCCTTGTATTATGTCCCACAAATGGCACTGCAGATGCCAGGACCACAGTTCCTCTAGCACCTTCAAGTAAAGTTAGGTAGGTTGGCTGTGCTAAAGCAATGTCTGTTTCAATTTTAGTCACATTTCTGAAAGTGAATGAAACAGAGTCAAGCTGGTTGAAGCCACAGGAGTTGATATGAACTAAGTGAAGCTGAAGTTGTCAAAGCAATTTGTTCAAAACTGAATTTTCAGATAGAAAAGGGTGTGAATCTGAATTCCTTTATAATATAAGAGCATGAATCACAAAACAGGACAATAGTAGCAGATTTTGACATTGGGCTTTATTTAAGAGCAATCATTAAATAAATGTTACAGTCCAATCTTAAATTGGGATTTTTGACTATGTGCTATTTGATGCAGCTTCCCACAGAAGCTATTAAGGAGTTGGCCAAAGGCCAAGAAGACTGAGCAGAGGGAGTTATTTTGCCTAGAGATATGGGAACTTGGATACAACTCTGCTATTGGTCTAGGTCACCACATAGTCATGATGATTCATGACCTTCCTTGTTGGTTGGTTGGTTGGTTGGTTGGTTAGTTGGTTGGTCAATGTGTGGTTTGAGAGTTCGTTGGAGTATGTTCTGTGAGAGAGTTAAGATCCGTGTCTGTATCCTGTATATAGTAACTTGTGATACAGCTATAAATAATAAACCTATAAGTAACCAAGTTACTGGTAGCAGTGTCTTGTTCCTGCTTCATCCTGCTTGCAACTGACTGCTTCTGGACAGTCTGCGTATACTCTGCTATATTCAGCAGGTTCTGGCTAAGATCCTTCAACATGTTTAATGAAAATTAAACCCAATTGACTTAAATGGGGCTTACTCCCAATGGGCAGAGCAATTCTAGACCTTGCAGGTGGGGTCCTATTCTATTGATTTGGCCTGGGCAGGAGATGGGGGACAGGATTTTTAATTTTCCCTCCCATTGATTCCCAGGGTTGGGGTGGAAATAAGACGGGTAGTTGTCAGCCAATTTTGTGGAGATGTCTGATTAATGAGGTGATTTTGCACTCTGTGGACACCAACAAATCATCTTTTGGTGGGTATACCAGTGGGCACTTCTACTGCTTCCCAGGATATCTCAGTTCCCGAATCTGGTTTTAGGATTGCAGCCTAGGTCTTCGGCAGAATGGGAAATTACATAGCTCAACCTTATCATGGAGGAATGTTCAGCCACTTTGTGTTCTCATTTGTTCTTCTAAAATGTTTGTTTCTCTTTTATAGGGCCTGGTTACCAGAAGGATCAAATTTTAGCCCATGAACCTGGTATTTAAGGTGAAATAGACCAGCTGCTAGAGAGAAGGGAGAGAGTGTTCTTGTGCTTGAGTCTTTCTTGTGAGTTTCCTACAGGCATCTGATTGGCCACTGTTCGTACATGATGCTGGAGTAGGTTGGCCACAGAATGTTCTCAGCAGGCTCTTCTTATGTGCTTATGAAGTGAAACTCAATAAATTCAGAAAGAAGAAAATAACTTTAACAGGTCCTGGAGAATGGTAACTGAATTAGCACCCTACTAGCCTTCAGACTGGCCAGAAGATTGTAGGGGGTGGAGTGAACATGTTATATATAAACAAAGCTGGTAAGTAGAGAAAAGTTGTTGGAGGCTAGAGATGACTTGAAGAGAAAGAGCTGTGTGAAGTGAAAATGTTACAGTAAATGGTTGGCATACTACAGAAAAAAAGAAGCTAAAAAGTGACCCAAAAGCTGAATGCAAATTGAAAGGTATTGGCTTGGCTTGCTTAGGAAAACACTGTAGTCTAGGATCAGCTGATATGCTGTTATTTATTTTTATTTTGCACTTCCAGTTAACATCTCAGACTGTTTCTGAAATAAGTTTTTAAAACGAAAAATAACACATTTTCAAAACTATTAACCTGTTAGCCTACAATAAAAATGAAGACATGTCCAATTGCCTTACCACTCTAATGAGCATAGAGAGTTGGCTGAGCCAGTTAAAACTACAGGGTTAAAAGGCTGTTTAATTGAGGTTGACAAATGAGGGAGAGATGGTGGTGGCGGGGAAATCCACTTGGTAGCAGTAATGAAATGAATATGAAGAAGGTGTTGGCTTTAGTGGGTTTTCATACCTCCCTTTCCCTGCATGGTGTGAACAAAAGCACACTGAGTAACACTTATAAATATTGATTCAGAAGTGAGCCTCGCTGTCTTCAGGTAAACTTGTCTAGGTCTGCAGCCAAATATGATCTGAATTAATCTCATGCACATTATTTATTTGCAGCAGGGAGGGGAAACCTTCTCAGCCAGAGGGCTGCATTCCTCCTGGGCAACTTTCCAGAGGCCATATGCATCAATGGGATTAGTGTGTGGAGAAGCAGGTATAGCTCTTACATTCATCTTCAAGTTAGAAGCTTCTTTCTATACATACACATGTGTCTCCACTCTCCATCCATGCGAGCAAGAGGGCACATTCTAGCAAGCAAGATGGCACATTCTAGCACAGTTTGAGGACACATTCTAGCAAGTCAAGCAGGAACACAGCACATTTTGGGTAGAAGATATGGCCTAGGTACAGAGTGTGTGGCCTGGTAGTCTCAAGAGCTGGCTGGACACAGAGTATTCCTGGCCTGAGGATCCCCTTTCATCAGGGGTTGCCCAATAACAAAAAGGTCTCTGGGTAGCTTTCCCTCACTGCCATCAATTCAGGTTTTTTTAAAAAAGCAAAACCATGCAAAGTAAGTTCATTGTTTGTAATTGAGCGCACACCTTCCTTGATGCTTCTGGTGGAGCATTTGTTGTGCCCTGAAAGTACAATTAGCAGTGACAGAAGGATCTTGAAGAAAAGTTTGAGCTATTTGTTCATAGAGTGATGCACCACTTTGACATAACTTAGAAGGTATCTTTCAAAGCCCCTGCAAAGCTCTTCATCTTTTGTAGAATTTTACATTTTCCTTCTTGGAAAAAAAGTGAAATATGCGTGCCTGATTTTTGTATTGGGAAAATCAAAAAAGCATCTAATTGTTTCGCCTATTTTCTCTGCTTCTCTGAAATGGGTCTGACAAACACACACACACACACACACAGGGAAAGATTTTAGCGTAACTTCAGACAAAACCTTCTAAAGCAACAAAAGACACCCTGGGGAAACAAGTGAAGGCAATCAGAAGAATAGACTTATGAATAGTTCTCCAGTTCTTAAAGAAAAATCTTCTGACAGAATAGTACTTCAATTAAATAGGAGCTGGGGTGGGAAGGGAAAAACAACAATAAAATGGTACAATAGAGATAGTACATATATGTTCAGAATTCATTGTTAACTTTAGTACTTTGAAAGGAACCAGCATGAAACCAAACTATAAAAAACAAAGCAGTAGTGAAACAACAGTTTATACTACCCTTTGTTGGAGGTCTGGGTTTCAAGATACAAGGCGGTGGCAAAGCATGCTACTCTAACATGTATTTCCTCAAAATGTACAAAACGTGTCATTTGCTGGCTATTATTAGTCTTTTTTTATATGAGAATTGACTATTGTTTGATTAACAGAGAGTTTTTGGCTATGTGTCGGGTACATTTTAAATATCCCAGGAGCAGACCTCAGGGAAGTCCTCAAGAGACTCAGTTAGGTCCGCCTCTGAGTAAGCGCACCCATTGACCCAGATGCTATTGGCCAAATTTTGTGTCCATCTGATTCCCCATGCCCTGGTTGCAGAAGAGGCTGTAGCATCTTCTGTTGGTCAGGAATACAACTTGCAGAACCTGTAGGATGGTGTTGTGCCATAACACTGCCTGTTGTGTGGAATTGCTGGTTATTACTAGTCTTCTTTTATATGAGGATTATCTACCATTTTAGTGGCAGAGAACGTCTCACTGTTTTCCAATCAGTAAAGGGAATGTTTCCAGTTTGCATGTCTTGAGATCCTAGAGGGTTGAAAATCGCATTATTTGCAGACTGGCAAGGGTGTTGACATGAAACCTGAACTCTGAGAGTCTTAGTGACAAGGAATCACTGCAATTTTGTCAGAAGTACTGCAATTTGATTTGCAAGTGTAGATTTCATGCCTTAGAACAACAAAACAAAACAAAACAGGCATTTCCCAGACTTCTTTTCCTGCTATAAGCTCTGTTTGGCACATGGTTTGGTGTATGCTTTTCAAGGTAAGTTAACGCCTAACTGCATGTGATGGGCATGTTTTTCAGTTGATTTTTTCCCCTGAGTATCCCTGAGAAGATGAAGTTAATTCTGTTAGGCTTTATATATATAATGGAGACTAATATACATAACTTTGCAAGCAATTTATCCTAATGTAATGTAATGTTGTATGTTATTTCAATTAACATATTATTTAAAGAAGGACCATTGTTAGCGGTCGAGCATTTGCCATGCAAGTGGGAAGTACCAGGTTCAATCCCTGGCATCTCCAGATAGGGCTGGAAAAATCCTGGAGATCCACAGCCAGTCAGAGTAGAGTGTACTGAGCTAGGCGGACCAATCATTTGACTCAGTATAAAGCAGTTGCCTGTGTGTGTGTGTGTGTGTGTGTGTGTGTGTATGTGCATGTGTGCATGTGCATACACACACACACACACACACACATATGTAAGCAATCTTTGGAGAACTGCATCACAAAATTTAGATAAGTGTGGATTTTGAAGGATAGCTGTGTTTCAGTTCTCATATTGTTTTGGTAAGTGCAAATGAGAGAGATTAGCCTTTAAATGAAAACTGAATCAAATTTCTCCCCATCCTTAACCTGGAGTCCTGATCACTTACATCAGGTTGAAGAGGGAGGTGGAGTATAGGGTCAGGAAGGGATAACGTGGGGTGCCTTTTCAAATATCCAGATTTTCCCTTACTAATATTGACAAGGTGTCTGGTGTTATACAAAGTAGTTTTGAATATTCATTCGGGAGAGAAAACAGTGAGTGCTATTTTCACACGCCTTTGCTCTGGCTAAAATGGGGTGAGGTGGGGTGGCACATCTCTCTTATGGGAAGACACACATTCTTCAAAGTGTGTGCACTCTCATAAATCTTTCTTCAGGGAAAATGCATAAGGATTCATTTTTGATGAACTAAAAAGCACAAAAATAGGAATTGCAAGGCACTTGCACTTCCCATTTCTCTGCAGAAGTGTGAATGCCTGAAGCAGCTCTGACATTAGGTGCGTATTAAATAGATAACCACTTGCTTCATGTTTTCTGAGACCAAATAAATGACATGCTAAGACTGAAATCCTATTCCCACTTACCTGGAAGAAAGGCCCTAATGAATGTAACATAATTTATTTTTGAATAGACATGCATATGATTATGCCTTAATAGAATAATGAACCCATCTTGCTGCAAGTTTTGGAGCTGCCTCTCCCGCACCCCCCAGCATTTCATATATTTCTTACCCAATATTTCATCACATTTTAACAGGCTATTCTCCAGGCAGGTTCTTTTGCAAAAGACTGTTAGAACTACATGATCAAAAGAAAGTGGCTGGCAAATGTAAAGAACTAGATTCTCTTATCTTACTCACGTAGAATGATACCGTATTCTAGGATACTCTCCTTTGAAGTCAATGGATTCATTCATGTAGCTGGGAACGATCTGGCATGATTAAGAGTATCTAGAGCAGCCCATTACTGTTAAGTGGACATGCAGAGGAATGATAGGGAATGATAAGTCTGATAGAGATGAATTTTCTCTTTATGTTTTAAATGCTGCACCTGTTTACCTTTTCAGAAGTGCTATGCACTGTTTGCTTGGAGGGCTCCTGAAATGTCAAGAAATGTGCCAGTTCAGTTGTGAGTGGCAATCGAACCACCTGCCAGCAAGAGCAAATGTGTGCAAAAGCTGGGAAGGACTGCAAAGGTACCCTGCTGTGAGATGAGTTTTGCTTTCAGTAGCACCACCTACTTAAATATGCACCCTTACGGCGATCATTGCTTACACAATGATATTCATATCTCTTTGATTTGGAAATTAAGCTATGACTCCAGTGTGTTAGGCATTTGCTATATCCTCTCCTCTATCTTATTTTCTGTATTCCTCTTCACTGAGATACAAGCTTTTATTTTCCTCTCCTGTTAGAATGACAGGTTAGCTAAGGCCACTGTATGGGTTGATGGCTGACATAAGCTTTGAATTGGGGACACTGCAATTCACCTTTCTACTCTTTCTTAGCTCCTACATTACTGGAATCTGTAATGCAGAGAGAAATGCCAGCTTCATCTTTGTAGGGCAGCACAAATGACGAGCTGTACGTGAAACGGCATGGGGGCAGAATCCAGTTCATGCTTGCACTTTGAAATTCCATTTCTCTCAATAGGAAAAGCTTTTTAAAGCACGTGCTTAATCCCCTCTCATTAAAACACATGAGACTTAAAAGTGCTTTTCCTTTCATCAACTCCCCTGAATGAAAATTCCAAATTCTTGCTTCTTAACTCACATTCTTAGCCATCATATTATGCCAGTTCCCCAAAAGGTATCACGCTGAAAATGTTTACACTGGGTGGAGGTGTCCCTCCACCTAGCCCTGCTGGTCTCTGCCCAAGGAGTGACACCAGTGTGACACCAACATCGTTTTGCTGGTTGGTGTAGAGTTTCCAGTTCTGCCTGCTAAATGGGTGGTTGAATATAAATGCCACCACTGGCATCCCTGCCAGCAGCAGCCCATGGAAGGACTCAGAACTGGTCATTCTGTAGGCATGAAGGGGCTGAACCAGCCCAGAATACGCTGCAATCCAAACCACCTCCACTTTCACCACCTGACAGCCACAGCCTTATAGAATCATAAAGTTGGAGAGTTAGAAGGGACCTCAAGGGTCATCTAGTCCAACACTCTGCAATGCAGTAATCTCAGCTAAATCATACATGACAGATGACCTTCCAAACTCTGCTTACTCCAAGGAAGTAGAATCCACTACTTCCCAAGAGAGTCTGTTCCACTGTCAGAAAGTTACTCCTGATGTTTAGTTGAAATTTCCCTTCTTGTAGCCATTGGACCTACCCTGCAGAGCAGGAGAAAACAGACTTGCTCCATCTTCCATGTGATAGCCCTTAAGATATTTGAAGATAGCTATCATATTTCCTCTCAGTCTCTTCTTTTCCAGGCTAAACATACCCAACTTCCTCAATGGTTTGTCATAAGTCTTGGTTTCCAGGCCCTTTATCAAATTGGTCACCCTTCACTGCACACATTCCAGCTTGTCAATATCCATCTTAAATGTGGTGCCCAGGACTGGACAGAGTACTTCAGGTGTGCTCTAACCAAGGCAAAATAGAGTGGGACTATTACTTTCCTTGACTGAGACACTCTACTTTTGTTGCTGCAGCCTCACACTGTTGTCTCATGCTAAGCTTGTGGTCCACTAAGACCCCTAGATCCTTTTCACTTGTATTACTGGCAAGCCAGGTGTCCCCCATCTTATATTTGTGCCGCTGATTCTTCCTGCCAAAGAGAACAACTTTACATTTGAGCCTATTGAAATTCATTTTGTTAGCTTTGGCCCAGTTCTCCAGTCTGTTAAGGTCATCATCTTGAGTCCTAATTCTGTCTTCTGCAGCATTGGCTACCCATCCCAGTTTGGTGTCATCTGCAAATTTGATCCAAGTTGTTCATAAAGACATTGGACAACAAAGAGGCCCAGGACAGAACCCTGCAGCACCCCACTTGTCACTTTTGTTTCCAGATGAAGAGGAACCATTACTGAGCCCTCTTTATGTTTGTTTGGTTAGTCAGCCAGCTACAAATCCACCTAACCGTTACCTTATTCAGCCCACATTTGACCAACTTCTCCACAGAAATATCATGGAGGAGTTTGTCAAAAACCTTACTGAAATCATGATACACTGTCTTCACAGAATTCCCTTGATCCACCAAGTGTGTAACTCTATCATAAACAGAAATGAGGTTTATCTAGCATGACTTGTTTTTAAGAAACCCATGTTGGGTCTTAGCAATCACAGCATCCTTTTCTAAGTGCTCATAGACCGACTGTTTAATTATCTATCTAGGACCTTTCCAGTCGTTGTATAAACTCTAGGTTGATACAGCAATATGACTGCCTCCCACTTTCTGTCCCAACCTGGCCAGCCATGCCATTAAGCCCACTGTTCCCTGACCAAAGCTTTTTATGGCAGTTACAAAATTTGAGGCAGATCAAGCAGCATGTAAAATACAAAATATGGGCTTTAAAAAGCTGTAATCATAAAATGTTGCTTCCTACAGCAGTCACCTACAGTGGGACATTCCTTCCCCCATGCAAATTGTTTGAAGGATTGTTTTTTATTGATTTTATAACCTCACACACCTCCTCTCCTAGCAGAACTTATATTTAACTGGTGAAAATCTGTTAAAGATCCATAGGCTGGAGGTTCTATACTCCTGACCTGTGTCACAGCCCATGGAGACTGAGATTGAAATGCATACTCAGCCACAAAACCCAAAGAGTCATCCTGGACCAAGTACAAATTTTCATAAGATATAAAAGGCAGTAGCATGAACTCTTTGGAGAATCAGAGTGAAATAAATTAATATTAAAGGTGAAGGTAGCAATGCAGATTCTTATGTTTTCATCAGTTCTAACTAAATATGGTTTGCACTTCCAAACCCTGAAAGTTGTCTTCTAGATATCTTTCTTGCTCATATAGAGAAATCTGATAATAAAAAAGTAAATTCTTCTCTTCTGTGCCTCCATTCCCACCAAGAAAGAAAGAACATTTTAAATTAGAACTGATATTTAAGGTTAACTATATGGTGATCTTGTGCTTGTCCACAAAATGTGGTCTAAATACTCTTCCCACATCATCCATAAAATCTTGCAGATCTAATTTGAGATGCATGGGTGTAAATGAATACAAAATGTCGCTCTTAATTGGGATGTGTGCCTGGGACATATTCCCTTTAATATGTTTAATAAGCTTTAAAAACTAGTTTCATTGGTGTACCTCTGGGACCCTGTGAAGAATAACAGGGATCTCTAGAAGTGGATTTTTAATTTCTACATGCAACTGAGGTGGAATTAAAGTGCAAAAGCAATTTCAAAGGTCTTGGTATGATGGATGATCTGAAATTGTTCCTTACATTTTTTTAAAAAAAGCTTCACAAAACTTTCTGAATTCCTTTGTTGCAGGCAATAACAATCTACCCTATATTATATTTCTATGAAAAATAACTTTATGCTTTGTTTTGGATTTGTTCTTCCATCTTAACTGAAAGGATTAGAGTCAGACAATAAAAAAACTGAACATGTAAACAAGAGCAATATCAAAAGAAACCTGTATGAACATTGCATCACCTGGGGGATGCCGAGCGTTCAGGAGGAAATGCCATACGAACTATGTAAGTCTGATGCACGTTTCAGAATAGAAAAGCAGCAAGCTGCAGATTAGAGCAGTGGAAGGGATTCTTCTTGGGTTCAGTGAACATACCACAGGTTACAGAATCCCAAATACACAAACATAAGGTGACCATCAGTAACAGTGTGAGTTTTGAAGAGGAGCCGGATGAGAACATAATGACATTACAAAATCCATCAGAAGAAGACCACCAGGACACAGACAAAAGCCCTGAGAAATGAATACCATCAAAAACAAAGAGTTGAAATCAA